CCGCCGTGATCGTTGTCTCCTGCTCCTCCCCCTCCTCGTGGCTCTCGAAAGCTCCGAAGCCCCCATCCTCATCCTCCTCCTCCTCCAGCAGCGGCGACGCCGTGACGGTCTCTTGCTCCTCCTCCTCCTCGTGGCTCTCGAAAGCTCCGAAGCCCCCATCCTCATGCTCCTTCCCTTCTCCTTCCCTCCCTGCCCCCTCCTCCTGTAGCAGCGCTGTCGTGACGGTCGCCTGATCCCCCCCATCCTCCGCATGGGTCTCGAAAGCTCCAAACCCGTCCTCGTCATGCTTCTCCTCCCCCTCCACGTGGCTGTCGAAAGCCCCGAACTCCTCCTCCTCCTCCTCCTGCATTCTCTCCTCTGTCGATTTCATCTGCTCAGTCCCTTCCCATCTATTACGCTCCAGGCGTGAGTCTCCTGCTTCGCTCCCCTGAACTCCAATCGTAGTCACCTCGTCCACGTGCGGTAGCTCCTGGCTCTCAACAACGCCGTCGCCACGCATGCTCTCCTTCGATGAAAGCGCTTCCTCATTCCCGTTCACTGCTGCAACATGGTTGCTGCTGCTCGGCACATTTGTCTCCAACACTTCGCCTGTTTCTCCCGTCATTACTCCAAAACACCACCGAAACCACTCGAGCATGTCATACCCCTACCTTCTCCTGTGGTACTCTTCGACGGTCCTGCCTTGGCATCGCCTACTCCACTTGTACCTTCCACGGGCGTCACTGGGCTACCACAGACTGTGTCCCTCAGCTTACTTTCCGCACGAATCGATTCTTCCTCCTCGAAGTCCCAGCCCTCTGACAGCAAGGATTCGCTCCTATCTCGGACCTTCATCACCCATTCACTCAAACATCCAGCTCCTCCTCAAACAACACAACCTCCTCCTCCATCCCCGGGCCCGGCCCTTCATGCATGGACGAGACCGCCGGTCAGCTCAAATGCAGAATCTGTAAATCATCAGACAGGAGCAGATCTCTTTACCTTCGACAGTTTCCTCCTTCGACTTCATCTTCCCTCTTCCCTTCACTCCTGTCTCAACCTGTCCCATCCTATCCCGTTCCCTCCTCTCCTCTCCTCTCCTCTCCTCTCCTCTCCTCTCCTCTCCTCTCCTCTCCTCTCCTCTCCTCTCCTCTCCTCTCCTCTCCTCTCCTCTCCCTCCTCTCCTCTCCTCTCCTCTCCTCTCCTCTCCTCTCCCCTCCTCTCCTCTCCTCTCCCCTCCTCTCCCCTCCTCTCCCCTCCTCTCCCCTCCTCTCCTCTTCATCTTCTCAGTTTCAGTCCACCCGGTCGTCCAAGGCCGATCGGGCCGGGCCCGGAGACCGGCCCGGTCGAGTTGACACCCGGTCCAGCACTGAAATTCTTTTTACTCAACTCACTTCCGCTTTGTCTCTTCTTGACCCTCTCCCTGTTTATACGGACGCCGAACAATCACCCACCCCTTCGACATGTCCGCACGTAATTTTTCATTATCACCCCCATTTACACTCAATAATTACCGGAAATAGCAAGGTGGGTCACTACCCCTACCCTACATGATAAGTTCTACCCCATTCCATTCTGTACATGACAACTGTAAATAAAGGGTCGTTGCAACCCATCTACCCACCCCTAGTGTTGTGCTTTCAGGATGGTACAAGAGAACCGGTACATTTATCTGTGACACAACCTACATTTTGATGGTAGGGTGGTTGTTGACAAGGGTACATTTCATAGAGAAAGGGGTGGTATTAGGAACTAGGGGTAGTTAGGTCCATCGATTTCAATTGAAATGGTGGGGTACTCACTTGGGAAATTTGGATGGTGGGGTAGGGTAAGTAGGGGTAATTTTATCCCAAAAAAAAATTGCGGGCTGTATGAGGTTGTAAAAAGAGTTTCTTTGTGGGAATTTTTTGAAAATATCATTCCAAGATTTTGAAATTTGAAAATCAAACCTGAAATCTGTACCCTTCGATCTTCCCCCCCTACCCCACTCAATTGTACCCTCTGTAATAGCTGAGCGGACCCCCGATCGGCGTCCCTGGGTGGAGACATAGGGTAGGGTGGTATTTTGATGTGGGTGGGTACCGATAGCAGAAGGTAGGCCCAAGAGGTCCTAGAGAATACGCCTCCTGGTGAGGAAGGGAGGTGGGGGGTACTCTAGACTTAAAACACGGGTAGTCATGCTGAGGAAAAGGGGGTAAGGTTAATGAATTTGGGGGTCCGGCCGACGAGGCTGTAGAGGGGTGGGGGTAGGGCTATGCGAAGATTCCAACAAAGGAGGGGTGGTGCACACTACCCCATAATTCTGAAAACACCCCTATTCATTCCTATGACTACCCCCTCAATTCAGGCCACCCTTTACCACAAGTATTACCCCCACCCCCATCAAGCACAGACCTCCTGCCCCGGCAGCCCCCGCAATGCAGGAAGGGCTTTGGTAGAGCGAGAGGAGAAGCACGAGGAGGATGAGCACATCACAGCTGCAGGGGATCATTATCTTGCGAAATTTCTCATGCAAAGTACAGAGAGGATTGAATGAGAGGACAGAGCAGAAAGTAGATCAGCAAACAGGAGGCAGCAAAGAGACTAAGGGCAGTGGGACACCTATGAAGGCGTAAGGGGAGGGTGAAAGTATAAGAGGAAAGGTGGATGAGGAGCAATGCGCAATCAAAAGATCTCAAACTTGTTCGATAAAAAATCGAACGGTCAGGACGAAAAGAAAGCTCTTGCGCTTAGATAGACGCTGGAATGCCTTGGGATGCCTCTAGGTGTGATTGAGGGGTAAGAGCTCGTTCGACTTTAGATTGTGTTCACAGCAGAAGCTTTCTTGTTATTCATCCTGCCTCATTCATACGCGATTTCATGTTGAGATGAGTTTAGAAGAAGTCATCAGACACGTGGCCATCCCACAGGAAGATGAAAACATCCAGAGGCAGGAATGGCAGAAGATAGATACTTTGTTATCAAGACCAAGAGAGTAGTTGTGAGTATGCTGCTGGTAACATGCATATTTCTGCAGACAGCATCTGTGTGATGAGCACCTGTGTGATGAGATGAATGATAGAGGCATAGCACACAGATGCATATATGAGGTGTCTAAGCTGCATGCTAGTGATTTACCGACGGAGCAATATTGTCCACACAAAACTGTGAGGCTAGAAATCATGTGACACGCTTGCCCCAACCTTGGAACCTGTTGAGGTTTTGAATGATGCTTGGTGTCGTTCTGATATTTTGCAGCAGATCTCTACTCTTAAGGCTCCCCCGCCAATATTAGCCACCCAACCATTTAGTATCCCAACTTAGACAGATCACGATGCCCAACCCCAGGATATGCCTTCTGGTTGCGCTTATTGCGGTTCGATCTCTACCGTTTTCGCCATGAGTTTCTCATGTCGATTTCAGACTATGGTCGCGAACACAAGCACCATGAGAGTCCTTTGGATGGGAGGAGACGACAAACCGGATTCTACCATGAAACGCAATGGTGACAAGCCAAGAGCAGGGTACGATGATAGCACGGACAAGCTGCTGCAGGTGAGTTCGGTAGGATGGTACAGACGGCAAGTCTGACCCGACCGTCACGTACAGGCAGCGATCAGGAACATAGATCAGCTCACGAGCGTCGCAAGGGAGTTGTCTCAGGAGAACATCAGCCCGGCTGTGTTGAAATCTGCTTCAAGGACTGACCTGCCATCCTTGAATGGGAACAAGGCCAACCAGCCTAAACCTGTGCAGAACTATCAGCCGCAGTGGAGCGAGCAGCCGCAGGAGCAGCCGAGGGCTCCTCCTCAACAGTGCGCTCTGACCTTCCGGCTCAAGAATGATATAACCCAACCCGGCGACACGGTCCTCGTCGTCGGAAACGTTCCAGAGCTGGGCGAATGGAAGCCGCAGCGCGCGGCAAAGCTGAGCACGAACTCGGGGAGTTTCCCGTACTGGAACGTGGCGATTACGTTGCGCCCGGGCTTCTCGCTCGAGTACAAGTTTGTGATCCAAAAGAGCGGTGGAGAACTAGTATGGGAGAAGGGGGAGAACAGGAAGATCAAGGTCCCTGTGTCCTCCAAGGCTACTGCTGAGAGCGCCTTCGGGGAGAAGGGAGAGCGAATCTCGGGAGTGGATGCTGCTGTGGTGGAAGCCAGGGCCCCCTCTCCCCCAGCTGCCATCGCCTTGTATGAGCCGGAGGCTCCGATGAATCAAGAGTCGGCGACGCTGCACCTGCGCGTCAAGTGCACGACGAACCCTGGGGAGAGCGTGTTCGTGTGCGGAGGTCACCCGTCAATCGGAGGATGGGACCCGGTGAAGGCCGTCATGCTGGTGTGTCGGAAACCGAGCCATCCCATAATTTTTTGCTCACTTTGCTCATGCAGAAAACCAACAAGGATGACTATCCCCATTGGAGCGGCACCATCCAAGTCCCCGTCTCCGCGGTGGAGTCACTGGTGGTGGAGGAGCCGATCTGACCTTGAGCCGTAGACTCAGAAGGAGAACATCCGCTACAAGTACGTCGTCAAGGACTCGTAAGATTGTGTTTGTGCTCTTATGTGGCCCTTATCATCTCCGCCAGCAACGGGCAGTCTCGCTGGGAGGATGCGATCGCAGACAGGGTCCTGATGCAGGAGAGCAAGAAACCAGGGTGAGACTGGATGCTGCTGTCTTCCCTTCGCTCACTCCTTCGCTCCTGCAGCGGAGTCCTCAGCATCAACATGCACACGTACGTCGACGATGGATCCTTCAACTGCCTGCAAAGTACGAGGAGGGGGGGAGGGGGAGGAGGAGCAGCAGCAGCAGCACTATCAGCTGATGGCTGATCCGTGTGCTGTCGCAGGGGTCTGCACGTACGTTCGTGACGGCAAGGAGAGGCCGCGCACGCCCAGCACGGCTCTCGCCACTACTCCTCCTCCTCAGGTCCTCATGATTAGCCGACCTTTCCCTCCCTCATGACGTGTACGACAGATCCCAGCAGGTATGCAGGTGGTCAGCATTGACCAAGTGCGGCAGTGGGAGGTGAGGATGGCAGGCAGCTGAAGACTTCAGCTGGGTGACGGTACTGGTGGTAGGCGAGGGTGGCGGAGCTGGAGGATGAGTGCGAGTCGCTGAGGGAGAGGGCCCGTGCTGCGGAGGCGTCGGTGGACGCTCTGAACACGGAGCTAGAGGAGGCAAGTCCTGCGTGCCGTGCACATGGCCGAGGCTGAGGCTGCTGGTGCAGGAGAGGAGAGTGAATGAGGAGATCATGGAGCAGATGAAGTTTGTGGAGGAGCTGCTGCAGGTCTGGCCTCCTCCCCCTCCCTCTTCCTCTTAATTCCTTGCTCCTGATTTTCTTCACTTCTGTCCTCTCCTTCCTTCTCTCCCTCCTCTCGACCATCCTCTGCTCCCCGTACTCCTTGTCCTCCTGGTTTTGACTTGGATTGTGCAGCGCATGAAGAAGATGGAAGAGACTGTGCGGATTCTTCAACCCTCAGCATCTTCCTTGACCCTCCTTGCAGGTGACGACGCTCGAGGAGACCAAGGACGTTCTCATCACCCGCAGCGAGTCGATGAACAACTTGCAAGCTATGGGCAGCCCCCCAAGGTTGGAGGAGGAAAGAGGGAGGGAGGGAGGGAGGGAGGGAGGGAGGGACGAGGACAAGGACGAGGACGAGGACGAGACTGACCGGATGCAGCAGCAGCGCAACCAAGAGCGCCAAGGAGGGGATCGCAGACTCTATAGAAGAAGGACTGGCGAACGCGAAACAGGTGAAACAAAGGAGCGAATGTCGGAGGAGTGGAGGGAAGGGCGACGGGAGGGAGGGGGAAATGGAGAAGGGCGGCGGACATGCACAGGGGAGGAGGAGAGAGGAGGGGAGGGGAGGGGAGGGGAGGGGAGGAGTTGAGAGAGGAAGGGAGAGGAGAGGAGAGGAGGGAAGATTTCTTGTTGACGGTCGGGCTTCAGATTCTCAACAACATCGACCGTCAGTTGACTCACAACCAAGCATCTTCCGTCCGAGCTTGAGCTTAGGACAAGAGTCTATTCTTTCATGCTGTACAGTTATCCCAGTTCTCTCCTATCCCAGCCTCCTTCTCTCTTCACTCGTCCTCGTCCTTCAACACTTCTTTCCCTTCTCTCTCCTCCTCTCCCTTCTTTCCTCGAACTCTCCTTGATTGCTCTCACTCGTCCTTGAGCTCTTGCAACCCTCCTGATCTCCCCCTTGACGATGGTTTTCTTCACTTGCCTTTCCCCTTCTTGCCTCCCTTCATCGTCTGCACAGTATCACAATCTCCTCCTCCTCTGCCTCTGACTCGCTCACCTTGGGGAGGGAGGCAGGGTTGCTGGGGTCGTAGAGCGCATGGCCAGTCTCCTTGATATGAGAGAAAAGCTGCCGGCAATCAGAAGCGACGGGAAGGGAGGGGGGGAGGAAGCAGGAGAAGGCAGAGAGAGGAAGGCGGGACGACTAGAAGACAGAACAATGGAGCTGAAGGGGGGAGAATCCAGCAGTAGGACAAGAGCAGGAGCAGCAAGGCAGGAGCAGGAGATCGTCTGTGGATCGTTACCTTGGTTCGGGAGGGAAACTCTTCCTTGCACACGTTGCAGACGTGGGACTCGCTGCTGCTGCTCTTGGCAGCTGCTCGCGCCTCTTTCGCCTTCTTCCCCTTGAGCTTCTTCGGCTCCTCCTCGCGCTTCGTCGTCCTGCTCTCCTCCTCCTCTCCCGTCTCTCCTCCCGCCAGGTAACCCAGAGCAGCGTCAAAGTCGCCGCCTGAAGTGTTTCCATCAGTCAGGCTCCCTCTTCCCTCCTCCGTCCTCCCTCCTCGGTTTTCCCTCCTCTATTCCCCGTCCTCCCTCCTCCACCAGCTCCTTCTCCCCACTCTATCCTCCCCCCTCCCAACTTCCCTCTCCTCCTCTCTCCCTCTCCTCTCCTCCCCCCTTCCCCCTCCCCTCCCTTCTCCCTCCCTTCTCTCCGCCTCCACCTGTATGCTTCAGTGCCCAGCGGCAAGCTTTGCGGGCAAACCCCATCCCCTCGAGCTGAGCGATCATCTCGGCCGTCTCCTCGTCCTCCTCTTCCTCCTCTGCTACGACTGGAGCAGCTTTGCCCGCCGACCGTGAGGGACCTTTCTTTCCCTTGCGCTTCCCTCCTCCTTCCTCCTCCTCCTCCTCCTCCTCCTCGTTGCCCCCCTTGTCCTCCTCCTTCGCCTTGTCCTCCTTTTCATCATCATCGTCATCCGATGGAGGTAGTCCGAATGCCATGGTCTTCTTCTTGGCCTGCTGCGGGTCAGAACCAGGATGCGGAAGAAGTCGAGAACAAGAAAGTTCGCAAAACGGAGGAGGAGGAGAACGAGGCAGAGCAGCAGCAGCAGCAGCAGCAGCAGAGACATGACGGAACAGCAGCAGCAGCAGCAGCAGCAGCAGCAGCAACAGCAACGTAGAGGAGAGGAGAGGAGTTGAGGAGTAGGAGGATACCTTCTTTTGCTGCTTCTTGGCTCGAGACCTCTTCATTTGCTCCAGTAGTGACGCCTCATCGTCATCCTCCTCCTCCTCCTCCTCCTCCTCGTTGCCTCCCTTGTCCACCTCCTTCGCCTTCACCTCCTCCTCATCATCATCTGATGGAGGAAGTCCGAACGCCATGGTCTTCTTCTTGGCCTGCTGCGGGTCAGAACCAGGATCCAGCAGCGGGAGCAGCAGCAGGAGCAGTAGGAGGATACCTTCTTTTGCTGCTTCTTGGCTCGAGATCTCTTCATTTGTTCTAGGACAGAGATTTCTTCCTCCTCCTCCTCCTCCTCCTCCTCCTCCTCTGCTTTCTCCTCCTCTTCATCCTCGCCCTTCTCCTCGTCCTCGTCCTCCACTCCTTCCTCATCGTTCTCATCCTCCTGTGTGCTCCGTGAGCCTATGAAGAGATTTCGTGCGAGAAGGAAGAGATTGGCAAAGGGACAGGAGCAGGATCAGGAGCAGGAGCAGGAGCAGGAGCAGGAGCAGGAGCAGGAGCAGGAGCAGGAGCAGGAGCAGGAGCAGGAGCAGGAGCAGGAGCAGGAGCAGGAGCAGGAGCAGGAGCAAGAAGAACCGTGGCATCTTGATCTTCTTCGTCCTCCTCGCCTTCTGCTGAAGCCTCCTCCGATTCGTCGTCTTGCTGCGATCTCTGCCACTGAAGGTTGAGAGGAGGAGAGGCGCAGGGAGACAAGAAACCAGGGAGGGAAAGGGAGAAAGCAGAGGGGGTCAGAGGAGGACGAGGACGAGGACGAGGACGAGGAGGGGGGGGGGGGCGGCAGTAAGGCCGAGGTGGTGGAGGAGGAGCGGGAAATAGAATTTAGCTGTTCACCTTTGCTGCAGCTTTATCCATCGCAAGGAGCTGGAGAGTGGCAAAGAGTCAGCAAGGAGCTGACTGCTTTCAGCTGGGGAAGGAGGAGGAGGAGGAGGAGGAGCAGCAGCAGCAGCAGCAGCGGCGGCGGCGGCGGCAGCAGCAGCAGCAGCAGGTTGACGATCAGTAGCAGCAGAAGCAGCAAGTTCTCACTTGTTCGCGGAGTTTCTTTCCTCGCTTTCCTCGCATCTGCTGCATCATCTCCATCTCCGCATACCTGCAACATCTCAATGTCGAGCAGGGAGGACAGGAGGAGGTACATGTCGTCAAGCCTCTCGTCGACCTGAGAGACGAAGAGGAGGAGACAAGTCAGAGGACAGGACAGGACAGGACAGGACAGGACAGGACAGGACAGGACAGGACAGGACAGGACAGGACAGGACAGAGCAGAGCAGAGCAGAGCAGAGCAGAGCAGAGCAGAGCAGAGCAGAGCAGAGCAGAGCAGAGCAGAGCAGAGCAGAGCAGAGCAGAGCAGAGCAGAGCAGAGCAGAGCAGAGGAGCAACAAGACGAAGGGTGGAAAGATTGGAGGTGGGGGGGAAGCAGCAGCTACGACGGGGAGTGCAAGGAACATGTGGATAAGAAGAATGAGGAGGCCGAGGTCGAGGAGAGGACGTGGACGAGGACGAGGACGAGGACGACGAAGTGGAAGCGGACGAGGAAGAGGAAGCGGAAGAGGAAGAGGAAGAGGAGGCAGTTAATGTAGGTCGCCATCAGTTTTCCTTCACCTCAATGTCTTGATCCGCCTCCTTCGCTTTAGCCTGACATGAAGGTGACGAGAAGCCGGGAGAATCTCCTCCTACCCCTTTCTCCTCCTCCTCCTCCTCCTCCTCCTCCTCCTCCTCCTCCTCCTCCTCCTCCTCCTCCTCCTCCTCTCACCTCCATCCTGAGCCTCTTGATCTCTGCCTCCTTCTTTTTCTGCTGCTCTTCCCTCGCAGCTGCCTGTGAACTTCGGTAAGGGCAGAGTTGGTGGAGCAATGGCCTGCAGGGAGAAGAAAGGGAAGGGGGGGGAGGGAGAAATGGGTCGAGAAGTTGGAATCATTATCACCACCACCACCACAACAACAACAACCATCACCATCACCATCACCATCGTCAATGTTACCACCATCATCACAAACCATTGTATCTCCTCCTCCTCCTCCTCCTCCTCCTCCTCCTCCTCCTCACCTCTTCCGCCATCTGCTTCTGATGCACCACCTGCCTCGGATCTCGCTTCTTCACCCACGTCGCCAGCCTCCTCACTGTATCGTTGAACGCTCGCTGCCCTGCCCCCCTCGCTTTCTTGTTCTCCTTCTCTATCGCTCTCTTGATCTGCCTGTTGGGTGCGTCGTTCGGGTTGTACTTGTCGCACCATGAAAAGCTCCTCCTCGTCGAGAAGTTTTCGAAGTAGCTGTAAAACTTCGCCGGCCCCTGCAACCATGGCGTCTTGCTCTCCCCAAACGACGGGGGCGCGTCGTGATACGTCCCAACCTCCTCCTCCCCCTCCTCCAACTCGTCGATCTGCTCGAAGACCTTGCGGTACACGCTGAAGAAACCGTCCTCCTCGTCCCCGTATCCCTTGTAGCACGTTGAGCTGAAGAATTGGAACAGGTCGATACCGCAGTCTCCCTCCTCCTCCGTCCCGTCCCCTCCCCGCAGAATCTGCTCTCGGTGACTATCGTACCACGCTCTCTCGTTGGGGTCGGACAGCACAGTGTACGCGTTTGTGATCTCCTTGAAAATCTCCGTCGCCTCCTCCACATTATCTGCGTTCTTGTCAGGATGCCATTTCAGCGCCGCCTTGCGGTATGCGAGCTTGAGGTCGTCAGCAGTAGCATCCTTCTCCACTCCGAGGACTTCATACAAGCACCTCCTCTTCCTCTCCCCTTCTCCTGTCGACATTCTGCGCCTGCTCTCCCTGACCTGCTCCGGGCTAGTTTGCAGATGACATATGTCGCTGTATGCATATCAGTCAGGAGCAGGCAGCAACAGCAGAGTCTTATCCTCCTCTTCAAACATCCATTACCAGCCTCCCTGCACTTCTCCCCGCCCTCTATCGTCCCCTCCTCCATGTCCTTCCAGACGTTCCTCGCCCTTCCCCTCGCAACCCCCAATGCTCTCCCCACCTGCTACGGTAGTCCTCTCCCCCTCACATCCCTCTCTTCCTCCTCCTCTCCCTCCTGTCCTCCTCCTCCTCTCCCTCCTGTCCTCCTCCTCCTCTCCCTCCCCCCTCCTCTCTCTCTCTCTCTCTCTCTCTCTCTCTCTCTCTCTCTCTCTCTCTCTCTCTCTCTCTCACCCTCTCTAGCTCTCGCCCCGACCTACGTGCTGTCACACAATCCAGTCAAAATCTTCAGAGACCTGGCTCCCCGCATAAGTTGGGGAAGGATCTCCCGGGCGGTCCAAACTAGGGAAGTACTTCTTGGAGATTAACCGAGCCTCCGGTTGGTGGAAAGGGATTCGTCTGAA